TTGAAATAAGAGAGAGAGAGAGAGAGAGAGAGAGAGAGAGAGAGAGAGAGAGATCTGAACACAAACATTACTTAGTGCTGACAATTGCCCGTGGACACGAGTATCTAATGAAAGAACAGCATTTCTAAGCTGCCTTTATATTCCTTTAAGATTAATTGAACTCAAGAGAAAACTGTCGACCAGAAATCCGTTGTAGCATCCGATATCGGCTAACAAAGCAGAGCACTATTTTGCAGATCCGCCTACTACCCCTGTAAACAGATGCTGCCTTCAGTAACTTAATTTCCAGTGTTTATTACTTCTGTCTAGTCCGTTCAACCGTACCATGCCACTATAGACTCTATGTCATTGTGTATTTTCAAGATGTACTCGGTTCCTTTCGATCATCATCGTCAAGTGCCAGATCTGCTACAGACATAGGCGATCATGGTTCTACATTCATTCCTTTGCTCGGATGCTCTCAAAAAAGCTACATTTACCTGATCTTTCCCTGTTACCCATTTGTTTAGGTTCCCTACGTATGTTGTTCTAGGCCTACCCCTGCCTCGTTTGCCTTCAATATTGCCAGTGAGAGCTAGATGTCCAAGACCCTTATGTCTATTCAAAAAACTGCTTTTGTCATTTCCTGATTGTTTTTAACGCGTCCCACGTGGGCTTCATCAAGCACTACCTCATTTGATTTCTTTTCCTTCCACGATACTTTTAGCAGTCTCCTAAGAAACCACATTTCTGTTGGTTCTATTTTATTTTCACTGTCTTTAGTGATTGTCCTGCATCCACAGCCATATAGAAGGGTTGACCAATCATTTCATTTCAGGACTTTCATTTTGGTGTTCATTGAGATCTTTCTATTTTTCAGGATTGGACTCATTTTATTTCCATAAGAGCACCAACATTTAAATAAAACACCAGCCAAGAAAAATGTCCCATTGGTTTCCTCACCTGACTCTCGGAGTCGCAAGAGAACAAGGCGTGGCCGTCGGCGCAGATAGCTGAAACGTTAAAACAAAATAAAACATTCTCGTCAATTGGGTGGTTGGCAGGTGCTTTGATGTGGTTTGCTCCTCCTTTCCTATCAAACATCTATCGTCCTTATCTCTCCACCTTCTTTTTCTTGTGTATGTTACTCTCTCGCAACACCTCTAATCGTCGGCACTTATGTGACCTAACCGATAGAATTGTGAAACAATTTCAATTATCTGGGAAACATACAGAGCAAGCTGCCATTTTCATAGGCGCTAAAACAATAACATACATTACCAAGTGCCGTTTAAGTCTAACTTAAACTAAAACTCAGTAAACTCATTGAGGACACACTCTCTGGACACTCGACAACGCTAGAAAACACGCTGTTTTGGCCGCACTTAAAAAAAAAAGAAGTCAGTTTGCTTCATTATTCACTCATATTTTCCAGTTCTGTTTTATTCATTTATTGGAAACTTTATGAAAACGCAGGGCAACAAGATTCATTCCAGGAAATACTAAAATGTGTGTTTCTAATTAGGGCTGGGCAATGAGTCGCTTCAGCAAAATCCGGATAACATGATAGTGCACCTCTTCGGCGATTAAATGTGTTATGAACCGCTTCGTAAAATGGGTTAGAACCACTTCAACAAATGAGTGCACCCACTTCGGAAAACAGGTCAGGAAATAGAGTTTAAGAGTCTGAATTCGGACAATGTTTCACTGAGAATTATCCGGTTATCCGGATTTTGCCCACCACTATTTCTGAGGTGTGTATGATGGATCAAAAGGAGTCAAAACTTTAGTCTTTGGTCTATGCTGTTGACCGGACATAGGTGTCTGTCTCGGTCTTTACGAGTTAAATAATTATTGTCTTAGGTACAGACGGAATAGGTAGGAACTTTGTTAAGAACTAAACTTTTCTGCCTTCTTGAGACCTGCGCCTACAAAGAAATTGCTAAGCCTTTCCACGTTGCAGGCAGCAGACCTGAGAGCATTCCAAAACAATCTGAACTTCATGGGAAGCATACAATGCAGACTGTCATATTTATAGGCGCTTAAACATTAACGTTCTAGCAAGATCTTTCGCTGTGTATGGCTGGGTGGTCATATTATACGACCTAATAGTGTTACAAGTGGAGCAAAAACTCGCTCTAAAACTTAAACCGAGAACTGACCACAAGCGACGCACTCGACCAGCTCTGCCAGCACCAGGAGCTTCCCGTTGGTCATGTGGATGTCTTTGGACAGCTCCTGGACGACACGCGCCTTGCTGGCCTGGAGCTGGCTCTGAGGAGTGGGAGTGAGAGGAGTGGGCGGTGGGTGGGGTGGGGGGA